AATAAAAAAGCCTTAGAGTAATTATACGGTTTAGTCCTCCACGTCACATCTGGATACATCCTCTACGCTTGAATTCGACCCAATGAAAACGATGATTTCGAATAAACATCTGAGACTTGTTTTGTGGTATCAGAATTAAAGTTCCAAGTTTTTTCAAACTTTGCCAAACACGACCAAACTGATTGGCTACTTATGGAGCAAATAATTTCTGCCGAAAATTGAATTCCTATCCACTATTGATGATTTTATGTTTAAGTAAAACATCATCGAAAAGGACCCAAGAAAAGAAACTAAACCGAGGGTGGTCCGTATTTATTTACAGAATACTTCACTGGTTATTTTTCGTTTCACATCAAGCTGAATAGCACACTTGAGTGANATCAAAGAAGTTGCTGGGCTGGCACAAACTGAGACGCCTCTGTGTTTGCAGTATACGTGCCGATTCTACATCATCAGCATTTAACGCTTTTCGTACAAAATAGTCGATGGACGTAAACTGGTGCCGGTTCACATAAAAACGAAGTGTTTTATGTAAAACAGGCCCCACTTAGGTGTGATTGTGAAGGTAAACTGCCCTCGAAAAATATTTATGGGTTTTGTCTTGGAGGAATTTAAGGATATCAAATAATTATTTTCATGCCATTTTTACTTGAATAATCAAGTAGGTTAACCATAAAAATGTCTTTATTCGAAGTGTTTATTGACGTAGGAGCTCGCAGTTAAAATATAGTTTCCATAGATATTTAGAAGATCAATAGTCAGCCTAAATACTTTGAGAGTGGGTATTTATTTCACATTTATCAGATTCACAGATCTTTTATGAGATCTGACCTGATATTTGCTATCCCGTATTGTGTTTTGAATGTAAGACTGCCCTTCGGAAGAATTAATCGATTGTATCTAGTTTGGTACCAAATTATCTACTGATGTTTTAGAAAATACGTGATTGCGGTATGTGGTAACTGGATATGATTGTGCACTGTAGTCATGATTGTGTTGTTTCTTCTCGGGATACAGATATTTAAGCCCCCTGAACCTGAATTAGCAAACTGCCTACGTGATGCCCATTTAGGCGAACGCGTAGTTATCTGTCATCAATTTTTAATAGCCACTGGAAAGTTCTAACTTCAGAGTCAGTGGCACGTGAGTCATATTTGTTATGTAATGGAACAAACTGGAGTGAAATTCCTTTTTGGTTGCACAACCTACAATATAAACAAGGTGATTATGAGTGCACGGGCGGATGATGAGTAGGTCTGTTTTCAGGGGAGGAACAGAAAATGAACTACACTGATCACGAAATAAAATACACATACTGTGCATAAAAAACATTGAAGCATTCGAACCCAAATAAACGACAACCAAAGATACTGCTGTTCGTCTGCTGCTGTATCCTTCAGTGTCTCCAAGTAACTGGCTACGGGGTGTCTTGAAACCAGAGCTTCAAGAAAAGATAGTAAAACGTTCCGCGCCTTATTTTCACAAATAAATATTGCACTCAACATGAATTTCTCCAACATGGAATGCCAACCGCAAGCAAGGCTCACCGCGGTAGATAGCATCTGTACATACGCAGTTCGTATCGTAACTGGGGAAACGAATTCAACAATTTTTGGTCACCAAAGACACATGAACTATCTGTCCCTTTACGATCCATATTGTCCATTCATGATTCACCCTATCACAAACTAGCCCAGGGGCTCGTAGAAGTCCTTGGGCCGGTTCGCAAACACCTCGGCAATCACATTACGTGACTCCTTTCATCTGTTGTCTAGTTTGAATCTATCTGGTAAAACGATCTATTCCTTTGATGCCACCTCATTACTCACAAATGTACCCCTACATGAAACCGTAGACTTCATCTGCAAATTCACTACCCGAGATAACATCAACCTTAGAATACCTCCGGTGCTGTTGAAACCTTTTATTTTACTGTGTACTGAAAACGTGCGCTTCCAGTTTCTAGGTACCGCATTTCGACAGATAGCCGGGTGGCGATGGGTAGCCCCCTCGGTCCGATCCGGGTTGACATTTTCATGGGTATGATTGAAGCACAGATAGACGAGGCAATCAAGGGAACATTTTTCTATAAAAGCTATGTGGAAGATGTGTTCATCATCTTCAGTTACCCTGACGAAATGGCTGTATTGTTGGATGAATTCAACGCAGCACACCGCAACTTTAAATTCATCAGTGAAGTAGAGAAGGCCAATTTGCTAGCTTTTCTTGATGAACAGGAGAATATCTATAGCGCATTACGGGTAGATGGTTATCCGGAATCTTTCGTTCGTTTTCATAATCTGACAGGCAACCGGACTGACGCCACTACCCATCGGGTGCCAAAAAAGAATATCCAAATTTCCATACAAAGGTGAGTCAACAATGAAGCTTGTCACACAGCTTATCAAAAACGCTTCACAAAGAACCTACTGCGCTGCCGCATTAAGACTCCATCCGATCACACTGTCCCTCTCCCTCCCCCATTCAAAGATCGTCCAGTCGAGTCTACCTCTGATTGCATTTACGTCTTCTGTTGCAGCTGCAACGAAGCTGCTGATAGAACCAACTGATCAGTGCGAACAATACCTTTTCAACTTCAAGTGAGTCCGTTGTAACTTCAAGTGAATGCAACCAATCGCACTCATTTGGGACTCCCACAAGATGATTGGTGTTTCGGCCGTCAAATGTCACCCATTGGACCGGGTCTGTCTAAACTCCATCCAGTCAGAATGAACTCACTTCCCCGTAAACAAACAAAAGTACTTTTTGAGTGAGTTGCCGAGCGAGGTTGAATGTTTCAGGGGTGTGTGTTGAGGTGCGCCGTTCTCCCCCGCCCCCCTGAGCCCCACACACCCGTTCCACCCGGGAACGTTATTTCGTGATCGTTGATCGAGTGTGCGTCATAGATGCGTATGAATGGACCCAAAGTGAATTGACCTCTGTCGGTCGGGTAAGAAAGTGAATCACGTCAAGATGGATCGATAAATCGGTCATCATGCCCAGACGTGATTGTGTGCATGATTCATTGCATGAGTGAAGTCAGTCTAAGCCTTCAATAACACAGGGAGTAAATTTCACTGAGGTCGAGATTCTCTCGAACAAAACACATTCCTTTGAATTAAATGCGATTGCTTACGTATTTCTCACATTGAAATACACACTTGATAATATAATTAACAACGGTAACAATGATGAAAGAATTAACGGTATTTAACCTGAATAGAAAGATGAAGTTCGAACCCCTTCACCAGCTAACAGAAATCATATTTTCCTCTGTCCAGTCGGCGGCATTTGAGGGCGGAAACACCAATCATCTTGTGGAATTCCAAATGAGTGCTGTTGGTTGGATTCACTTGAAGTTACAGTGGATTCAATTGAAATTGTAAAGGTATAGAATGGCTGAACACATCCCCAAATGTGCGCGTGACTCTCTGACTCGGCCTACACAACAGACTCTGACCACATCACATCGATCGACTTCGGCCATCGCACGGCACTTGGTTAAAAGCGGTCCCTTGCGAACGCATTCTCGGTTTTGTTACGTCACTGAAACGAGCACCGATCGCTCAAGACAAACCCACACTGTGCGTCCAAAAGCGCATGACCTTTACCCTTGGCCTTCGATGGTCAAAACTAATCACGTGCATCACACACATTATACCGAATCACACGCACACACATACACAGTTAATACTAACTCCATTTCTCAATTCGCTTCATTTATCTATTTCGTTCAATGTTATGCGTACGCGACCGATGAGAGTGTACGAAAGGAATTCCTCTCGCAGTGTTTGTCTTCTGACTTGCTTTTTCAAATTTTTGGTGTGCTAGCAAGCTTTCCAACAAAATATTCCGCCGAAACGCTAGTTCAACTCGGTGTTACTTATACGCCATAATCCGCCTCTTTGTGTCTATATGTCTCGAACTTCAGGTAGAAGCGACTACTTAGAACCGTTTTTGGAGTAGTAGAGGAGTCAGATGACTAATGGGATTAGATCAAAACCTCCGTAAACAACTAACATATGGACCTCTTATTTTTAGGAAACTGCATTAGGAAACTTCAGCCTACCTCCGTTTTTATAAATATTTCATTATGGCTCTCGTCTCCCTACCAAAATCTACATTCTCCAACAAAGTTTCGAATAATGCAACATTTGACCTAACCACAGAGATAATTCTTTGAGTTGGTTAGATTGAAATCTCTGTCTGTATGTCTGTCAAACACGAGGTATATGGGGATCAGCGGAGAAATGGTCAATCTTTCACGGACAAGTGTAACCAAATTAGCATTTCGTAGAGAACAGCTTATTCGGATGTTGGTTTTTGCTACCAGATTGTTCCATTTGTCGTTTGGTGTCCACGCAAAGACGAGACTAATAGAATACGCAGCTACCAACCAACAGATCTCACCGTACTACCTCCAAAGTCACCACCACCATCATCACCACTGAAAATCTCATCAAGCTGTGTATTCACATAGATACACCTTCTGGTACCTGGTCGACTGATAGTGTATGTAGCTTGTTTGAATCTTAATCAGACAATGATACAGCTGGACACTTTGCAATCTCTTCCTAAATTTCTCTGGCTGGCTCTACGCAAACTTATTTTGCATTTCCTGACAGAATAGCAATGGTCTTCATCAACTGCAAGACAGCGCAGTTGAACACGTGAGATGAAATGCAAACGAGCCGCCTCGCGCAAAGACGAAAGCATGGACGTCTGCAGTAGTTTAATGTGCATCGATGTGATTGGTTCAAAAGTGCTGGTGTTTGACGCGAACTTTACTGGTATCTGTACAATTCAACATTACTGGCCCTCAAGAGTTCGAGAACAATTCATATTTGTAGCTAATATTCTTCTGGTAGCACTTTGCGAGAAAACTGCAACAGTGAAGTTGAACACAATGCTCCGGTTCAGTTCCATTGAATATAGCACGAACAAGATGCCTAAGAATGAACAAATAAGGTAGTGCAGAAGCCAACAGACATAAATACACAGTCCACACGGCAAATTGAATAGTGAATGGTTGAGACTAAATGAAACACTCGGTGGGTTAAAAATCCTTTAACACATTGCTGCCCTAAAATGGTTAAAACAAGTAAATGTTCTCATTATGATCATAAAAACTTAACTTTAAATGGATGGGTATCAAAGTTATCGTCATTCTGAGCACAAATGAAAGCGATGCGATTGGTCGGGCATCTCAAATACGTTTGTACTATTAAACATGTATCAAGACACAATGAGTCTAGGAAGCCTTGGACATCAGGTCCGAGCAGAGAAACGAAGTAAGTCGCAAATTCACCATAATCGTTTATTGAAATATCAGACGAAATCTACAAAGATATCTTCTACACGTACATTGGTTAGTAAGTCTATCTCTACCTTTCAAACGTATCAGAAGCACGGAAAAAACGTCCACTGTTTTCATGGTCGACTTGACGTAACAAATGACGCATATTTCAAATTTGATAATTTCTACTAATGTCTTTCTGACGGGTGTATAATAGATCAGAGTGATAATGGTGGTTGATGGGGAAGTGGACTGAATCAAGGTAGGAAACCTTTTGTGTTGCTTTACTCTCATTATTCACAGGCCGGAGATTGCAAGTGATACTAGTTATGACGAGCTATGTATTTCCCAAAAAAGGAATCCTGACTTCAGTCATCATAGTAAAGCGATGGTCAAATAAATTGCATCACTGCATTTGACTACAGGTCAAGGTCAACCTAAATAACGAAATTTGAGATTGAGTTCTGAGATTGTGCTAAAACAGTATGGGGAATTCGGGCGCTGGTGGCGGTGGGGTGGAAAGCAGGGAGGTAGGCATACGTTAAACAACATGGGGAGATGACGTTCGGTGTGAAATAACCACAGACATGACGATTAAAGTCGTTTCACAACCCTTTCTGTGTTTCTTTCATTTCAGCGGCTCCGACAGAGCCAGTCAGGTTAGTGTGACCAGCCAGAAGTTGCATAGACGGATTTAGGAGAAATCATCCCAATTGGTTGACAGAAGGCTTAGAAAAGCCATACGGGTATCGGTTTTGCAGAGTTTGATCAACAGGATTCACTTGGTAGATATCGAAATGTCATTCCAGACCATCTACAGGACCTCAGTGTGTCTATCTAGACAAATTATGCTGCACACAGCTGCATCGGTAGTGATTCGGATCAACCATCCCGAACAGTGCAAACAACAATAGATTATATACACCTTAAGTTTGACATGGTCAAATAGAATGATATAAGCTAGTCTTGATCTGCAGTTCATATCAAAACTGAAAGATCAGTTTACTTATTCATTTAAATCAATTGGATAAAATGTAGTAACCTACATTCTCAAATCAATCGTTTTGTGAATTCTGAATTTCGTTGCTTCTCTATGCTCGTACATTAACGACGATGTTTGAGACTGAAAAACCGTGAGGATTTCTATGCTTAACTGGTCTTTTTCATGAAAAAGTTTTCTAACACTATTGCGTTTTCGGTCTGAGTATAATTATCGCTTCTACGGAAATCTCAAACTCCCTGATTTTCGCATGTAACATGATGAGCCGAGATGCCTTTTGTCGTATCCAACTGAGGGGAAAGATACTGGAAACTGTCGTGCATTTTTATTTAATAATGGTTCCCCCAATGAACAGGAATTTCTTACTAACTCAGTTCAACATGTACGATTCTTTTTCCGATATACTTGTACCAACTTACTGTTGCAACTGAATTGGGGGGGGGGGGGGCATACGATTCTGTCCGCGCATATATTCTTGCGTTCTTGAAATGATTACACAGAAAAGACTCCTTTTAGAAATCCGGATCTGATACCGTGAAACCAGAAGCATCTTATCTTATTTTGGTGAAAACATTCAGGTGAATGATTGCATCAAGTTTCGTTGAGCTATATTCTGAATAGCCACCTACTGACAAAATTTATAACTAATCTGACCATTTCAGTAAGGAATGTAAAAATGCTAAGATAGGCGGTTGAGAAGGGTTTTGGGTTTATACATTTCGAATAAAAAGCTTAATCAAAATTTCTATCACGTGCAACTTTTCTTCGATTAAAAAGTGAATTGTGGTTCCGTCAACTGTTATCCCGGAAGAAGAACGTTTTTACTAGTCTGGCCAGTTTACATCATTTATTTAGTTTCATTAACGTTAAACTACTGTCCATCGGCACAGGTGTTTAGGGAAGAAATCAATTTCATTTTCATTTAAACTAAAGACCTTAAAACACGTCGATATGAATCTGCCGAATGAGGAGATTTTAAAGCACACGGGAAATTTCACTATGAATACCGTTAGACCGAAAAGGAAAATATCGTTTTTTGGAAGAAAACACCTCCGAAGATATATACACTGAATACATTCCTGTGGAGGACGGTAAGCTCCACATATCTATTGAAATTCTGAAAATCGGATCTTAGAAACACGATTTCGATTCACGTAAGCCGCCAATAGGAATTGCCTAGTGATTCCGACAGGGTCCACCAGTGGACAGCATTTGATTTACCGCTCAACCCATTATCCACTGGGATCCCTGTAATCATTTAAATTATTATTTTTTTCGTTATCAGAGAATCACATGAAAGTTAAAAGCAACAAAGGTGCGAAAAGAATGTAATGAAAAACAATCATTGCACGTGGGCAATGTACCCTCTCGGGTGTTCAATGGCTCCCCATGTATGTGTTGCAAACTCACCTCATGATGTGCTTCAATCTGTTTCAACTGTCCAATTCGCTGAGCCATTTCATAGGTGACAGCGACTGCGACTGCACAGTATTCTGGAATGGCTGGCAAAAAGTAATGCGTAGCAGCCAGTGTGTATCCCCGCTTGTCCGAACTGTGACCATCAGTTGACCTTTCCGTGTTTATGGTCATAGAGACCTTTTCGATAGCTGATTCGACCCAAACACACAAGTTCACCGTGAGGATGTGAAGCAAAATCACACTGAAAATGCGAACATTGGCCAAAACGACGAGCTGGTAGGTTGGTTGATTTACGCGGGGGTGGAAGCCGGGTGAAGCAGTATGAGAAAGTGATGATGGAGCCCAAAATGAGTATTGAAAGGATTAAGTTTAACCACAGGATAACACGTATCCCGATCGTTTTAATGATCGGCAATGTGTAGTTAGCTTGGAATAAATATTCGACTGTTTTCAGGCATTTTTATGAAGTATACATTAAAAAATTCCGTTTCCTTGTGAAACACAGAATGAAAAACTGATCCAGTTAATACGGCTACTCATAAACACGACATTTCCGGCGGTAAAACTTTGAGATGTGATCTTTATAATGCCTTTGATCTACAAACGGGCGGGCAAAACTGTCCGAACCGACCCAGTTAGTGTTGATTTATTCTTTAAGGTGGATCTATGACATAACTCACATGTTGACCGTTAGAACTTGGTATGGAACTTCAAACGTTTCGAGGTGAATAGCTCACACCAGGCATTCATCAGTAACCGAAACGTTTACATTAGCCGCGACAGAAACTATTCAATTAGTAAACTCAGTTCAATAATTCAAACTGAACTCCTGCAGTTAAAATAAAACAAAGATGAAGTAAACCCTGAGATTCTCGTATAAATCATTCGACTGTATGCCATTAGGTAAAATTCCATAAACGAACTCTATCCCCATCTGCTTATTATGTCTTAACTAATTCAAAATGCATTCCCGATCAACATCATAGTTTACACAAACATATTGGTTTGTTCTTTTTGGAAATTTTAAAAGTTGTTCTTAAGGAGTTATGGGTCATTTGGTTGTCAGTCTGAGCAAATAATTTAGCCTCCTGGACGATAGTTCACGGTGCAATAATTTGCTTATCTGCATCCATAACTTTCATCAGAAGAAAAAGCTTGGCCTCGTGATCTGACACCATTGACCATTTCAATTTCCAGTATGAATGAACCAATGGTATGATATTTATCTGTTTTAAAGCGAAATTCTTTTTATAAAATACCTAATATGTTTTACTCTACGGAAGATAACCATTTTAGTATCGATATATGGTACAGTTCTCGTAATGGAGAAGAAGACATGCACATAATTTCCGCGATCGATAGGGTACCAAATATATTTTGGTTTTGGAAGTGGAACTATAAGCAGATTTCTGAGGTTCTGCTTTATGTTGTTGTTGTGTTCCGTCTTGAAAACGGTACCCATGATAATAATAATACAACCTCTCGATAATAATCTGAAAGAAAACAGTGACATGAATGAGCGCAGGTATATCGAATGTAAACACTGCAAATCTATCAAATATAAGAATATAACTAAAAGAGAACCTATTTTATAAGCTATGCCCTGTATCTGTGACTCCTCCAGTGTTTGTTCGTCATCGACAGCTTATATAAGCAGACGCGGTACATAAGTCGTTGATTACAATTCAAAAACAAATTTTGCAATGAAATCTTTTCCTTTGAACGCAATCGCTTGGAACGATGGTGACCGCTCGTGAGGCCGGGTCCCATCGATCGAAAATGAAGCATCCAACATGAAAATTGTTTGGAAAAAAAGACAGAATGTAACCTTGGTTTTTAAAATGTGTCACTGTGTCAAAACTAACTATCTATATTCATTCTTTGACGTCATTACGCTATATCTGGCCGTGTCTGGATTGGAATAATCAGCTGACAATTGGTGTTTGGTATCATCAGGTTGAATAGTATATTCAATCCAACCACTGATGCTCCTGAACGAGATAACCGAACTCACCCGATGAAGAACGAGAAAGAAGATTGGCTGTATCACAAAGAATAGAATTTTGCTGGTTGTGTAGATTGAGATGAGTAAACGGTCTGACTTGGTCACACTGACTTCATAGGCCCGACACGATGCAAATACAATAGCCATGGCGGCAAAGACTGTTAGTAAGAGGAAAGAGAGCAGATGGAGAGAAGAAAACAGAAATTAGGCATGAGGAAATAAATCGATTATGCACACACTATGGTTGTGTTTTAGATTCTTTCATGAGAATGGAACGAACCGTCAAACTCTATCAATAAGATACTTTAATGTTTCCGGTTGAGGAATGATGTTTATCAAAACGTAACACGTAGAATTGATCACTTAAGTACACGTGAACAAATTCAAGTTACTGTTGTTCTTAGATTACACGCGAAAACTGGTTTTGCATGCGACCTGATGAATGCATAAAAGTATGCTTGCTTGGTAACTGTTTACATCAAGCACTGATCGGGAAGAAACCAATCGTCTGCAATTTGTGACTCATTCATAGCTCATAGTGGTGTAACAAAACAGACATCAATATGTTTCAGGTTTCATTGGGGATGAAAACTGGGATTTCTAGTTTTAGAACTATCAGTGATTGAAGCCAGTTGGTAAACGAGTTTATCGTGGTTCAGGATCGTAACACCCCCTTTAAGAGTTTACCATTTGGATTTCCAACACCAGGTTATCTATTATCTCCAAAAACACGCTTGAAATATACGCGCAATCAGATGATTCAGAAACCACCTCGAAATTCATTGTTGGACCGAAAAGAGAATCTGTACATCTGTTTCCACTGTTCCACTGTTGTTCTCTTTTTAACCGAAATTAAAGTTGTATCTTACAGAGACTGTCCTCTCTCTTAATTTCTTTTCTAAAACGTATGTGTGGATTTATCTTCGCTTCCATAAATTTTACCATTTGACTCTCACCCACCACAAATTTCAGGCAATATGACTCAAGCGTCGGTTGATTGCGTCCAATACTTAGTTTTCCACTCTCTACCCATCCTCGAACAGACGTAACCCTTCATTTGTCCTCAATATGAGCTCGTAATTCATCAAAGGAAAGCTTGCCGTTAATTTTACGATCTCGGTAGATTTTACTGTCAATAACTGGGATTCACTGGTACACTACACAAGACCATCAATCCCTGGACGTGAAGTAGAATCACTCACCTAGTCAACAACTGTCTGACCTTCACATTTGTACCTTCAACCGCTTTGGTAACGATGCCCCTACCTTTAATATTTTATCATGTCTATCCCACATTGATTTTTCAAAAGACCAATATCACCTTGGATGTTTGTAACTCTGTCTCGTTTGATTTTGTACCGAAATCTCCGTCTCATTACTTCTCCCAGTTCTGTAAGAATACTATAGCCTCATGCCACCTTAAATAGGTTAACGTTTGCATATTTTCGGATTTTCAATCCCGAAAGAACTGTAGTTTGTAGGCCAGTGACACTGAAGAATTTTCTGTTGTCCAACACTCTATTAGAAGCATGCACTTATTTATTTCACATTTCTCTAAACCAACTAAAATGCTTTATTCATAATGGTTTAGACACGTTCGCTGCGTTGCGGTTCACAAAGTGAGAACAAATTCCCGTGAATAGCATGTTTCACAGCCCTCTATTCCGTCAGCACAACATGCAAGCACTTTGCAACTGCAAGAACACGAGATAAAAACGAGATTATTCTCATAGATATGTTGAGCGCAAAGCAGCACAGTGACCAACGGCTACTTCTTGAGCGCAGATGTTCTGGTAACTTTTCAAAGCAAAACACAGCGATGTATCTTTAGCGATCTCCCGTCTATTGCTAACACATCGTAATTCAGTGCACGATTTATAATGAAACAGGTTGTACAGCCACAGCAAGAAAGACCGAAAACTATAGTTCTTTTAAAACTACTTTTAGACTCTCTTTGATTGCCTTTTTCAAGGCAATTAGCTATTATGTTTTGTTAATCAGTTTGCCTTTTAATACTCTTCATTATAGTTAAAAAGTATTTAGAAAAGGAATAGGTTTTCTTGTTTTTCGCCCTTGGGTTTTCCAAATGATGTCATACAACCCTCATCTTTTTTGAGTAGGATGCACAATTTGCTGCACTTACATCCATTACCAATTCGGATTTCAAATAATTTAGTGCATGGTTCGCTTTAAAAGAGGCAATCTTTTGCCTCTCACTTTCTACTACCACTTTGCTACTACACATCCCANCAAGATTATTCTTTTTTATCTTCCTCATATGAGCCATTCCATCCTCTCTTCATACCACTTATTTTTAACAGAAACACAAAAAATCCTGTTATCGATAGACATACACGCCATCGGAGCGATGGGACCTTGCACCGGATCTAAAATGAACATCCTGCTTCTACATCATATGTTGTGTTTATCCGTGAAATCCGGGGTATTAACGACCCCATTAAAAATAACTGGGATATTCTCGATTTCACTTATTTCGGATCCCAAGAAAATTATTCTCTCTTCTTCTCAATTGCCCCAAATGTTACGGGATTCAGTCTTCCTGACCAACCACATTAGGTACAGAAGAAGGAGCTTGGCGACCATGCGTACAATCCACCGGTGATATTCTTGAGGTCGTTTCGCAAACAAAATCAGTAGCACCTGACTATCACCATAAAAAAACAATTTGATGGCGTTGACCGCCTGACATACCAACTACCAAAGATTTACTTACCCATACATCATTTTTCTTGGACAACCAAAAATTCGGGCCAACCGTATCAGCTGCTTCGGAGTCGAATAAACCATCTATCGTTCTGTTTCTTTATGTCCTCATGCTCCCCAAAATCCTGCACATTTTCTAACATTGTCCATGATTAGGACACACTGAAAACGAGCTTGTTTGCCAATTTTTGTTCTCATTATGAGCTCCGTGGGACTGTTCAAACATTTGAAGCTAATCTGTTCAGTGTTATTACCACTAATTTGTTTTCAATGCTTGATATTACTGACCACATGAATGTGTTCCATGTTTTATCCGTTGTTTTTTTCTCTCGATAAAAAATAGCATGGGAATCGGTTGTGGAGCGGTAACTTCACAACTACGCATTTGATTGACCATTCCTTTTTCTGGCGAATGTTTGATTGATTTCAATTAAGTTTGGGCTATGTTATCCCTATTTGGTCATAAAAATAAATCCCGCTAATAATTAAATTCTAATTGAGAACAAAAGTTGGGAGAATATAAGAAGTTAACTACGATCTTCAATAGAAAAGAGAAGGATGACAGAGAATATTTAGTTGCAACGAACATTAATTTGGTAACGCTTTTTCAATTCTTTCTTTGTGTCAAACTCATTATTTTAATTACGGATCCCATTTTTCCGAAAATCATTTGCTTCAGAAAGTCCCCTAAAACCCCATTTATACATGCGGTCAGATGGTGGAAGACAAAACGTGATATTCCCTTATTCTACACCATCATCGTGGTAGATTGCTATGAATTCCTGCGCTGAAAAACAGTTTGTTTTGGTCGGAATTCCTCGATTTCAGTCACATGCTCCAGTTTGCATTGCCCACATTCCGCTTGACTTCTGCATATCACACAGATGGTGTCGTCGCTATATGTCTGGTGCATTGACTGAATCGGCCGAACTTCTAGCAGCGCCTGTACGGGTACAAAACATCACTTTACGAACTGTCACTTGCACCAAACCATTTTAGCCGGAAAGACGTTTTTGTTATTGTGTGCAGTTCTGTTCGTCCTCTTTGCTGCCAGAGCAAGACAAATTCAGTGCCTGAAATGGAATTTGTCGACCGGTGAACCGAAGCTTGGATTGCAGCCATATATATACTCGTCTCAGGAGATTCTCAGTTGTGAACAAACATTTGGTCACATGTTTTCCCAAATCTGATCGATATTTATCACATTAGAAAAGAGAGTAGATGAATAATTATCTGTTAGATCCGTTTGTTTGGCCAATTTCAAAGATGGAATAGCATGCGAAAAATATCGCGTATTTCGAAATTCCAGTCAGTTAGGTAACGACTGTGGGATTCACACTAAGTCAAACGCCGGGTTAAGTTGTTGAAATGTGTTAGCCTTTAACGACAGAAAGTAGAATCAACATTGCACGACAGGTTGGATTTCATTATTAGGTTTTATGCTTTCATTTTTAAATAAGCATGACAGTGAATTTTGTAATCAGAAGAATCAAAAATCTCTAAGGCAAAAGCCACCAGTCACACTCAGATGGAGCAGAGTTCAAGGGCAAGGGAAAAATTGAATTTTTGGGGTTGCAACTTATCCTTATCATGGCAAGATCAAAATAGTCCAACGTCCTAATAGGAAATACATTTGCCGTCTGTTATGCCAGACTATTAAAGCCCGTGCGAATAGCCTGAAACTTTTAGTTGCTTGGCAAGTAAGGGTAATTTTGCTCTTTGAAATAACTTTACTTATTCGTTGAATCTTTTCCAATATCTCAATCGGGATATTAAGTAGTTCGATTAATTTTCCACCGGAATGTTGCTATGTACGAAGGTAGTAAGATTAGTTGTATTCGATCCAGTCCATGCAGGTTACCTATTCCTGGTTTTTCGAAATGCCTAAAAGGGAACTAGGTGAATGAAATTTCATTTATCCATAATACAGCTTTTTGATGAAATAACTTTTTCACGAATAATATGCGTTGTTCAGTTATGGTGATGTTTTGGAACTGGTAAATAATTTTGTTAAAGTGTTTACGTACATATATAAATGCAGATAAATCAATGTGTTTCATGTTAGTAAAGGAGGATTCGATTACATTTCTAATGGGAATTCATCGTGTATATAGCGAATAAAGCTTGAACTGAAACGAAATGTGTTTTGATAATTATGGATAAACTGCGATCCATTTAGTTAATATCTATGATGCATTGTTTCTCACTTGAATAAGACCGAAAATTCAGTCAATGTCCAATAAAAATAAATGTGTGTTTGACTGAAATGGGTTTTAGTCTCTGTAACTTTCATGATTGAACACGCACAATAGTGCGCAATGATGATGTCACAGGAGTTTAACTCCTGTCTGCCTCACACTAGCGTCTTCTGACAAACTTCGCACCACCCTCCCAGTCCAACTTACTGAACTGACCCTGACTGAACTGATCGTCATTGATCAAACTAGTGTTTTGAATTTCGAAATCGGTTATTTCTTTATCTGTTTCGAAGCTGGTCATATTGGAGAATTCGGTTGTGATAGTCCCTTCACAACAGTTCCATCTGAGCGAATCAGTCAGCAAACTGGTTTATTTTTGTCTTTGTTTAGGCTATATGTCGGAAGAGAAGTACTTAATTGAATGGGCGAATATCTGAAGGTGTGATTTACAGGTCTTTGTAGCAACGTTTGGCTGGGGCTGTTTTCATGAGTAAAAGACTTATGTTAATTTGAATTCACAGTAGTGTCTATGCTAGTTGGCAATAACTTTCAAGGAGCAGTGAATCGATGTTCTGACGTTTGTCTAATTCCTCCGATGCTGAACTGTATTGTATTGTATTGTATTTGTAACTTACTCTCCAAATTGTTGGGGTAAGTTACGATAGTGAAACTCAAGGTTCTGAGTATACACACACTAATGGTACATCGAGTTTGAACAATGACCGAACATGCGACCTGTGTTTATTCTCGGACTTCACTCAAATTGTGCCACTTCTCGTTGAACCAAAGATTTTAATCGGTATCACTGGATTTCAGTCCAGTACTTGAGAAACATTCTCCATAGTCTGCGGGTTAGGCACATTAATGTACGCAGTCAACAGTGTCTGCTAAACGAATCCCGCTCCAATTGAATAAATGCTGGTCCATATTCGAGGTGGGAGCACAACAGCTGTTGGACAACTTATACATCGCTTCTGACAACAGATCTGTAAAACGGTTACGTAGAAAGGGTTACTGGTGTTTGGCCGCAAGAGTTATGCTCAGGATTACTGGAAAAGAATGACTTACTGCAAATGGCAATTCGTAAGTATAGACTGACAGGTTCTCCACGCATGGAAAAAAGAATTCGTGTAGCAGACAGGTCTCCTTTCTCAATTGCTTCGATTGTGGCGTGTCTATTGTGTGCCACATACCAAAGCATGTATATCATTCCAATTACTGAAGTCACATACATGATGGTGAAAAATGACTGAAAAGACAAGCGAAAGGTTTGATAAGTGCCGATTTAATAATAAATAAACAGTGGTAGCAGATCTATAACCGATTGTTGTCTATAATGTACGTTTGAAGGACCACATTCACCAAAAATTGAGATGGCAAGCAAGACAGTGCAACGATCTGTCGAATCTTTTGAAAACTGAACAGAAATCTTGCGGTACGTATTGATACAAACAACCCTAGAATTTGTTTTTTAAACCAATGAAAACTATTCATATTAGGCACAACACATGAAAAAGACACAGGAATACTACACACGGAAAATGAGATGGAGCATCAGTCTCCCA